TTACATGGCTGGATACCTTCTGGACACACTAATACACACACACACACACACACACACACACACACACAGTGTCAGATACAGAGCAGCCACTCAACATGGGTTTGATTCTTTATTGTTATCCCCATGTTACTCAATTTCAAACTCATCAAGGGACTAAAGAATATGAAATCACATCTCCAGGTCTTCACGTGAACCTGTTTGCTGAACACTCTGGGCCCAAGTGAACAGCACTGGTCTTGACAGATGCAAAGCTTTAGGAGGGCAAGGCACCCTTTCAGCTAAGGTGAGAGGTGAGGCAGAAGCAGATGGGGCCGTGCAGGATGTGGATACAAACAGGCCCCTGTGGTGGGCACTTACTACTTGCCAAACACTGTGGGCACCTTGCATGTAACCTCCACAAGCTATTGTACAAGGCAGATACCTTTACACTCTCATTTTATAGATGAGAAGATGTTTTACTGATGAGAGCTGAGACTCACAGAGGTAAGTTCCTCAAGTCACCCAACTGGTGGCAGTTCTAGGTTCAAAATCGGGTCTCTCTGACACCAAAGCCCATGCTCCCACCACGATGCCACTGCTGGGGAAGGGGTACAGGGGGAGAAGGATGAAGGGGGAGATAAAGGCATTCCAGCATGAGGTAGCAAAGAACAGAGTGATATTATTATATAGCAAATGAGATGCAAACAGTTTATGATTTTTTAAAAAAGAAAGAAAATAAAAACAAAGCTAGAAAGGTCAGTTAGGACCAGAAAGAACAGAAAGCTAAGGAGTCTGAACTTCAGCCTGTGGGCAATAAGGAATCATTCCTTTGCTTTGGTGTCTGTGTCTGTTTTTAATTAAATACTACTACTGCAAATACTAAGAGCATTTAGTGAGCATCATCTAAGGACCTGGCTCCACTCTAAACCATTTGTATACATTCTTTCTAATAGTTACAATTCTGCACTTTAGGTATTGTTATCCCCATTTCACAAATAAACAAGGCCCTGAGTGGTCAAGCCACTTTCCCGGATGCCTTCAGTAAACGGCAGAGTGGGATTCACAGTGAGTGTGTGTGAGGCCAAGGTCAGTGTGCCCTTTCACCTGAAACAGTACTGCACAAAAACCTCCCTTGTTATAGAAAGCTGAAAAATAAGAGAAAAGAAAATGGAACCAGGGGACTGGTCAAAAGCAATGTAGAGATCCGCAGTAAGTGGATAAATGGCTCAACTGAGTCACTGTGAAAGTGGAAGGGAGGTGACAGAGAGCAGATGTGTTCACGACCTTGTCTTTCATTTACTCCATTTCTCTGTCATGATCTGCTACCTGAAAGAAAAACCAAGTTAGCAACTATTCTAGTCTCTACAACTGTCCTTGCCTTCAAGCCCTGATTTGAGTCCTGTTATTCATCCAGTAGCAAACAATGTTATCAGGGCTAAAATACGGCATCAGCCTCTAATCCGTTATCTGTATGGAAGAGTAATCATTCAAGAGAATAAAAGGAAGCCTCCACATCCAATAAGTCACATTATGTTTCACATATCAACAACTTTTTGAAAATCTGACATCAATACACAGTCCATCAAATCAGGAGGACACAGACGCTGAGCTCCAATGAGCACTGCCATATCCTACATTGTTGTTAAGGTTCTCCGGGACCACACGGTTTCATAAAATGGAGCGAGGTATCAATAGGTATTGGGCTGCTTTCTAGTTACTATTCTAGGGAAAGTGGCACAGTAAATAAAGCAATAGGAAATGCATACATCATGAATATGTCTTTCAAACTAACACAAAAGCTAACTGCACAATTACATTATCTCATTTGATGGGATCACCAATTAGAGGTTTTAATATTCACATAGTGATTACCCTCCCTTCCAGAAAACATTTTTGCACTAAAACCTTGGCTGCAGTCCTTCTCTTTCAATGACAAACTTCAATATTTTAGGTGGAAATTCAGTTGTCTTACAGATACACAGAAGCGAGTTGAAATCCCCAAACAGTACAATTTTCCTACCCATATACACAGATAATACATAAATATTCCCAACATTTTATTATTTTAGTTTCAAACATCGATTATGTTCCTGAGATTAAAACGATGAGAAAAATGGCACTTAAGAGTTCCCCCACACTAAGGACATGTGGTCTGTGCACTGCCTTCACCAGAAAAGAATAGTTACATATACAAGATAAAGCAAAAGAGAAGCATAAACATTCTAATTTCACAGCTCTTAATTACATAATGATTCTGTGTTTTATGTTTTTTAATCTGCTGGAGTTAATTTTATTCCTATGTGCAAAGACGTGGATATAAAAGAATTCTGTTCACCTGTAACATACTCAGACCAACCAAATACGGAAAATACAGCAATAAAGTCCTTTCTTTGAAGGCAAGCTTAGTACTATGTCACTCTTCGGTGTAAAGATATAACAACCTTAAGAAACAGACCAGAAGCTAAATTGACTTTTTTCCTCTTCATCAAGTGAGGCTCCCTGCGAACCTAGTTATGCAAATACCTTCATTCATCTTTTCTTCAAATCTGAGTGTTTCTTTAAACCAGATATTGTCACATCCCCCCAGCTCAGCTGCCAGTCACGACAGCAATTTACTGCAGCTCCACCCTTTTCCCACCTTCAGTTTCAATGGTGCCTTTGGGGTTGTTTTTTTTTTTTCCTATTATAGAAAATTTAAGCTAGGCATTCAAATCCTCAAAGTAGTTAAGTGAACTGTCACATAAATATTATTTAGCCCCAGGGAATTTTCTGTTTAATTGCCACTCTCTCCCTTCCCCCCAAAGGACTACATCTTATTTTGATGGTGTAATGGAAAGCACTGCATTAAGAAAGAGTAAAAACATAATGGGCTTAAATTTTTAAACATCTAACCTTTTTGCAAGTCACTGTTAATCATTTCCACCTGTGACGTTAATAATCAGTCTGACAATAAGAGAAGCAAAACCCCAGGACAGAACCAGGTAGGGAATGCCCCAGTCACAGCCACTGCCGTAACAGAGAGAGAAGAAAAGAGCTATTTTGTCATATGTGACATGAAGAAACTTTTACATGTTAGTTCCACCACATCTTGAGAACACTAGAGCTCCCAGTTTTTAAAACCTGCATCTTCTAAAAGTCAAGATTTTTTTAAACTATATCTTATGCATCTTCAAACATTAAGTTTTTACTAAAATTTTCAACTTTAGGTCTCAGGTGGGAGGAAAAAAGGCTCCAGAATAAGCACAATAGTGGGGGAGGGGCACAGGGGCAGAGCTAGTCTTTCAAATGCTTCTTCCCAGGAAGAATTTAGGACCATTAACATTACACCACTTAACGATTTATTTCATTGTGAAGGCAAACTTGGAGCATAAGTGGTAATATTTTGAAAATGTGATGGAAGTTGCTCTACCTCCATGAACACACAAGCTTGAAAGGTACAAATATGGTCTCTGTTAGTTGTAGCCCATCCTCAGCAAGTCATTTTCCCTGTGGGCTGAGGCTCCCATATCATGGAAATCATCCCTAACTGCTGAAGGCTGGAAGGGATTCCCTGTGAACAGCATCTGGACCACACCTCGTTTGGTCACACAAGGAGCTGAGGAGGGCTGGAGGAAAATGCGGCTGGTCCAAGGAAGAGAGGACAAAGCCAATAGTCAAAATATGTTCCTCTACAATTTGATAGGGAAGACCCCTAAAATGGCTCTTCATCCAATCCTGTTCTTGTCATCAGTCCTGGCCATCCGCCACCAGATGTTGGCCATTCTGTGGGCTGACTGGTGGGATTTTGTGGTCCAGCAGCTGCCAGCCTTTAATAACCTCAGCAGTGTTGTGGGAGCATCCATTTAGTGTATAAATAAGCTTTTTGGCATTAAAACATTGCCGAGTGAAATATTAGAGAACAAATTCCCCACCCACTGCAGGAGAAATTTCCCAGTTTCAAAGCTTCAGGGATGAAGATTCCAAATTACCTGTAGGAAAATTTTCTTTTATATATATTTTTTAATTCTTTTGCATGCTGAGGAACCTACTGAGAAGCCTCCCAAAGGTGATACCCACAGTTCAGGTTATTGGTCCTATATTTACCTAGTTAGGGAAGGAAGGAGAAGTGCTGGATAGTTACCCAGGATCCTTCCACTTGTAGCAGGAATGAACATCAGAAAAGCATTGGGACACTCAACTCCTTAGAGATCCAAAAGACTTCCGGAGGGATACAGAGAGCTCGCCCTCCCCGCCTGCACCCCAACGCTGTTTCTGCCCTAGCTCTGGAATCAGAGCCCTTCTGTTATTCCATGCGGTTCCAGAGATTCCACGGGGCTCCCGCATCTGACCCCAGGAAAGCCAGGTTGGTCATCCTTCTCCCCACCCTTCCAACCTCCACTCAACCTCTCCCCACCTCCCCAGGCCACCACCTTACCTGATAATGTCGTCGTTGTGTCCCAAGAAGAATTTTTGGCTGTGCTCGCGGGTGTTGTAAACCACCCCGACCCCAGCGACAAAGTAGACCACCTCCTTGCCGGCCGTGTAGTACAGGTTGTTGCGGCACTGGTGACCCCGGTACCCGTACACCCACTCCAGCCGGAGCTGGCAGCTGGGAGCTGTCCGATCCGCCATGATAAGCCGACCCCACTCGCCCCCCGGCCCCCCCGCACGCGGGTCCGCGGCCCCTACGCGCCGGGTCTGTCCTCGCCAAGGTTCGGGCTGCGGAGGACCCGCAGGGGCTCAGTGTGCCGCGCTGGGCGCTGATTTCCGCGGCGACGCACAGACACAGCCCAGCGCGCCGGCCGCCACCATCATCCGCTGCCGCCGCCGGAGACGAGCCGCCGGTGCGCGGCCGCCAGACCCCGCCGGGCGCCCCGGCTCCCTCTCCCCGGGCGAGGCGTCTTCCGAGGCGCCAGCACCCGCGCGCGCACGCCTCACTGCACCTGCGGGCTCCGGCCCCCGGGAGAGGTTCTTGCGGGGGTTACCCCGCCTTTTAAAGCAGGGATCTGCATATCCAAACACTGATTACCCAGTTCACTCACTGAAGTTTGCAGTGCGCGGGTGCTTCGCAGCAGGCAGCGGGATTTATTCTGTGACAGCTTTGATATGACAGTGAACCCGGCTAAGCTTTGCCATCACCATCCTTGGATCCGAAACTGACAGTCTACATCCAGGATGCAAAAGCGAGGAAAAAAGAAACAGATTTTTTGCATAAGTCCCCCAATCTAAGAAAATGACCCCCAAACTAAATCGTGTTTTTTTTTTAAATCGACAACTACTCCCTTTTTCTCCCTCCAGATCCATTTCCTTAATGATATGAAATATGCCCTAAACGTTGTTGGCCGGTGGTGGTTGCTGGTATGATTTGAAGGAACATTTGCTGTTTCCCCATTAAGCCAAAGTGAATATGCAATGGTCATTTTTTAGATGCTCCAATTAGTTGTCGTGTATGTGTTTAAAATTCATATACTCCGTGAACCCTCTCTTGGCCGGAACACCATAAAGAAGTTAGCACTTCTCACTAATCACCAACTCCAACTGCAAGCGTCATGAAAGATTTTTTCTGAATCGGAGGAAACGAGACACTAGTGCAGTTGGAGGCAGGAAAGCATTACCTACTGATGCTCCGGGTCAAGAAGAAACTAAATAATTAACAAGTGGCAAAAATCGTGTGCCTCTCCCCAGGAAGGTCTGAGCTAGCTACGGGGTCCCGCGGGCTCAAAGGTCCCGCCTCTAGCCCGGCGTAGGGCGGGGATGCCCGTGAAAACACTGGGGACCGCGAGACCCCTGCACAGGCACGCGCACGCACACACATCCCGGGCACGGGCTGCCGCGGGTACGAGGGATGTCGGCCCCCAGAGACACCCCGGCCCGCGCGCTCTGCCGCCCTGGTGGTGTGCGGGACTCCCACACCCGATCCAGCCTCGCCCGCGGAGCATCCCCGCTCTCTCTGCCTCTAACCTCTGCTCCGAGCCGGCGCCACCAGCACGTCCCGGATCTCGCTGGAGCGAGAGAAATCCTCAGCCTGCCCTGCCCTCCCTGCCTCCCGCACCGAGGAAGGTTTTCGTCCCTGGGCGCAGCGGAGACAGATTCTTCCCCCACCCAGGCTCAGGGGGCGGGGCCACAGAGCGGCTTTCGGGAACCCTGCCGGTGGGTTACTAGGTGAGATCACCGCACTTGGAAACCGCGACGCCCCGGGGCTGTGGGGCCGCCCCCACCCTCTCGGGGCTCAGGTTGCCCCTTTCCCCCGATGCATCCTGGGAAGTGTAGTCTTGTGAACGCCAGCTCAGGCCGGGAGCTTGCGCAGCGAGGCCACAAGTCCCAGGATTCCGCATGTCCAGAGGGGCCGCGGAGAGGCCGTTACCCTCGGTTCCTGCGGTTTTCCGGTAGAGCAGAGGACGGAGTACGCTGGACGACGGCGTGCAAGCGCCCTGCGTTCTCTAGTGACAGAGGCGGCCACCCCTCGTGCGTGTGTGTCTCTGAAGAAGCGTAATGGACTGGGAAGGGAGATAGTATCTACAGCCCAGCTAGAGTTTTGCACCAGTCCCTAAGGATTACTGTAGTGGACTCAAGCCCAAATATGTTTCCTACTTCAGTTTCCCTTTTTTATTCACATGGGTTTGATCTGTTAAGGTGTAGGCCTGCCAAATTTAAGAAATGCTGTATAAGAACCAGGACTTCCCGTGAGCCACCTCCTAACTTGGAGGACTTGGGTATTTAAAGATATGTAGGTTTTTGAAACGGGAAGGTGTTCAAGCCAGAAACAGCTTACCTTGGCCCTAAGACGCAGAAGCTGATGACATTTCTCCTACCCGAGGTGAACTGTGAATTTCACTGTATTCTGAAGTAGGCTGTTTTCAAATTGTGGCCACTTCAAAATCCCAGTGATGCAAAGGCTGCAAAAAAGGATGATAGAAGGGACGTTCAGAGCACGTCCTTTCCCTTTCCTTTCCTTTCCTTTCCTTTCCTTTCTCTCAGTGTAATCGATTACTCAGTCCTCTATACTTCCTCAACCGTTAGTATAGCTTTCTGAATGGTAAGGAAAGCCTCGGGAAGATTAGAAGTGCACAGCGTGTGGATGAGCAGTTGCTGCCTGCAGCAATGAAGAGGATGTGAACTGGTCTCGTCGTCGTTCTTAAGAAAATACTTATATAGTGTTACCTTAGGCAAATCACTAAATCTCTAATCTTTAGTCTACTCATTTAATAAAGTATAACAGTCCTCACCAGGATAGCTGTGAGAATGAAAAAATAATAATTTACATGTGCAAAGAGTTCATTTGTAAAGTATTATACAAATGTTAATTATTCCAAATGGCAGTATATATTAACTTTTATTTGCAGAAAATGTGAAATAAGACTTGATAATACCCTTTGGAAATAAGCAGTCTAAACAAGCAAAACTCATAATAACACTATGTTAATATGGTAAACACCATTATATTCTAGGCCATGTAAATGGTGCTCTACATGTCTTAAATAACAAACTATCCCAATAATAATCCTATGAAGTGGCTACTATTATTTCCTCATTTTATAGATGAGCATACTAAAGTAAAGAAAGGTTCAGTAATTTGCCCAAGGATGCACACTAGTGATGACAAAGCCTACATTTGAACTTGAGTAAGTTCAAACAGGTCCTCCAGACCTGTTCTTAACCACTAAGAATTATGAAAGAAATTGGTTAGATGATAGATTAAGTTCACCTGTGAATGACACACCCAAAGTAGCAGTGACTTAAACTTAATGAAACTTTATTCTTTATGAAAACCTGGAGGTAGCACAGGCCTAGTAAGATGGCTCTAATTAAGAGCCCCTGAGTGCTCAGGTTATAGCCACTGTGGCAACATTCTGCTCTGCTGTCCTCAGGCACAATGGTCCCAGAGGGAGTACCAACCACCATAAGCACATTCCAAGTACATTTTACAGAAGAGGCACAGGATACATGTTGGCTAACTCCAGAAAGAAGGTTCTCAAAATCTATCTCTAGTCTTTTCTGTTTGTAGCCTATCAGTTTGAACTTAGTTGCATGGCCACACTTAGCTGCAAGAAATTCTAGGAAGAATTCCTTGGCAACTGTGTTAAAATAGGAGATTCTTATACTATGGGTAAAGGAGAGAAGGGTTTTACATTCCTTATCTCTTTTAATTCTTACAACAACCCTATCAGTAGATAACTCCATTTTATTGTGAGGAAACTGAGAACCAGAAAAAAGTAAGTAATTTAACCAAGATTAAACAGTAAGTGGCTAAACCACTGCTCCTATACTTCCTAACATGAGACATAAATGTATTTATTGTTAAACAACAATGAGAAAATATAGCAAATTGAAGCATGATTATATAATTTTCCTCCTCAAATTTCTTAGCTAATGAGGGGGAAATATTCTCAAGAAACAGTAAGAACATAAGATAACTTAAAGAACACATGAATATTGTTACCAAAATACTTCAATTTATAAAATTAAAATGAGAAGGTAAATGTACAGGTTCTTTTGGGTGGGAGGACACTTTTAGAGAAGAAGGCCCTATGTATAACCTTGGGTCTTCAGCAAAAATGGCAAGTTTCACCAGGACCCACTGTCATCAGAGCGCTGTACAGACTCAAGGGAATAAGGCACCACACACAGGAGTGAGACACACCTTTGGATGCACAGAAGGGGCTCTGAAACTGTATGTCAATAGGATTTCAAGAAAGAGCAAAGGCCTGTCCCCTAGCAGAGGCTGTTCTCAGTCCCAATAGATCTCATGCTTTTCTCTACTCCACCCTTTTCCAATATTAGGCTACAGGCTACCGAAAAGTGAATACAAAGCAATGCCTGGCCACCAAGTTACAGCTTTCAGAAGATCAACTCATTCACAGATAAGGTGAAAAGAATTCATACACAATGTATAAAAATGTATAATTTGGAAAGAGCTGCCCCATCAAACACAAGCAACAAGAGAAGTAAGGGCATAGCAAAGGCAAACCAAAAGCCTGAAAGAAAGGTACACTATATGCAAAAGACAGATGAAGACCCCATCTGGAAGAAAATTTATGTCAGGGAAGCAGATTCTCTACCAGAGAAGAACTTAGTTACAATATGAATTCAAAATATCAAGAGCTTAAAGATGATACTAAAAGTAAAAGGAAAGCCAAGCTAAAGAAATAATCAAATATAAAGTTTCAGATCTAATGAATACATTTGAAGGAATAGGAAAAAATGGAAATTCAAATTACCAGCATGGAGGAAATACTGGAATTATCATAAGAAATGCAGAGGAAAAAGGCAAGAAGATTAAAATAATTAGAGAGATGATGCTTGACAGAGCAAAGCTAACCCAACATACAAATCACTGGTATTCTTAAATTAGAGAAGCCAACAAAAGGAGCGGGAAAAATACTCAGAAATGAAATGGAGGACTGTATTAAAGAACTGCATCTGCACAATAAAGGGGTGCCTACATACCAGGAAAAAATAACATAGAACAGTCTCTATAGAGACATATCCTGGCAAGATCAACTTCAAGAATAAACATTTCAAAGTGATTTGCCAACTTTAAAGAGATCTATTATACCAAGACTGCCAATTAGTAATTAAAGAAAAACATTTAAGCATTTATCTCTCTTCTTGGAGGAACTGAAGTTTATCCCCAGTTGATAAAGGAAAGCTATTTACCTATGAGTGCTAGCCAACAAATGTAGAAAAAGTGATAGATTTAGAAAAGTATCCAATAATGTCATTGATGCAGGCAACAGTCACAATTGTGTACTAAAATGATTAGATGAGAGGATATTCCCACAATGCTATAAAATACATGGAGAGAGCTGGAGGTTACCATCTCAATCAAATCATCAAACTTAGTATCACAGGTACCAGAACAGCTTGCTCCCTCTGCCTCCTGATGTGATACAGTATGAAATACTGCATAAAATATTTTTGATGAAATATCTAACCCAAATCTAATCAAACCTGAAGACCTAACTCTCAGTTTATAGAAAGTACTGGATAGGTGAATGATTTCACTGAAGCCACAAACAAACAGCCAGATAAAGCCAGAAGATGGGACACTGTCCAACAGGACTCGTCTGGCTACATCAAAAAAGTAAATGAAATGGAACAATAAGTACCAAACAAAAAAGTCATGGATTATTCTTGGCTAAAAGAGACAAAGAGATATAACAATTAAGTACAATGTGTGCATCCTGACTGGATCTTGCATCCTGGGTTTTTGTTTGTTTGTTTGGCTTTTTTGTTTGTTTATTTTTTAGGTCACAAAAGACAATGAGATGGGGAGGAACAATCAGGAAAATTGAAATACAAAATAGACTCTGGAAGATATTAGGGCATTACTGTTTTTATTCTTTGAAAAGTTTTATTTTTAGGAAATACATTTTGAAGTATTTAGGAATAAAATGTTACGTCTGCAACTTACCTTCAAATGATTCAGGAAGAAATGTGCATAGGAAAGAGAAAGAAAACATAGCAAATATTAACAATCACTAAATCTAGGTATTTTTAAACTCTTTCTATATGTTTGAAATTGTTATTATAGGAAATAGGAAAACCTTT